ATTAATGATGGTATGATTGCTTTAGTATTCTATTTTAAAAGCAGATATGCGGTGGTAACAGAGATGGCACTGCCCTCCCGAGCTGGGTGCCCAGCCAGCAGCCGCCGCTTTCCCCTCTGCCTTCAGATCGGTCGGAGACCAGATTTCACGGGGGAGAACAAACTTCACGGTCTGTGACATGATTTTCATGGATGCAAATTTGGTAGACCCCTACTTATATGAGGAAAGGTTACATGTTTTCACATTCACACATCAGGTTTGTTCCTTTTATCATTAGAGGTGGCTTTGGTCCTGCTTCCCCTCTCCCAGATTGACACTGGTGTCCCTCTATTAACTTTGCCAGCAGAAGAGAAAAGAGAAACAGGATCTTTGTTTTGAAAAACTGAATTGAAATGGCAACGACTCAAACTCGTGTTGATTTTGATCCGTGTAGCTAAGCATCCACATCTATGACACGCTATTGCACTCCATGGTCTTACGCAAGCCTAGCTTGAGCCAGAACTGATGTTAGCCTAGGTTGGGCATTAATTAGAGAAAACGTAAGTCTGTCCTGCAGGAATTCAGATCTTTTTTCTCCCTTTTACCTCATCAGTGTCATCGGGGAAGTAAACTTTGTGGAAAATTTGGGTGGTTTTGTGTTGAATTGCCTCCACTTCAACCAGATGGGGAGGATACTTCCTGGATCCATTCCTATAAGACAGGAGATTTACAATGAATATGGCACCAGAGAACTCACTGCTGATATATGTTGATACCCTACAAAAACAGAACAGTATCTTCAATAAGCACCCAACGAAACCCTGTGAGCAACACAAAATGGAAAGGGGTCTTACATGGAAAATGGTTTTAGGATAGGCGCTGGGAAAGGGCTCACCTGCTTGGCTATCAGTAATCAAAAGGAGGACACAACGGAGAAGGGTTTGAAAGAGCTATGATTTACCAGGGCTGCCTCTATGGTAAGGTACAGGAATGAATACATCTTGTAGTTTTCATATCCAACCTGCCTTCCCCCAGAATGGCCCATGGAAATATGAGCAGACAAAGCAGTCACGGCAAGGATTCTTCTGCCCTGTTTTATTTTATGATTTGTATTGTGGTAGCGCCTAGAGGCCATAAGCAGGATCAGGGCTGCATTGTGCTAGGTGCTGTACAAATATATAATGAAAGAATGGTCCCTGTCTCAAAGAGCTGATAGTCTAATGGTATGAAGAGAGACAAGAGGTGGCTACAATGACCAGAGAGAGGGAGCTCAAGGTCACAGCCAGGGAGTCATGGTTATTATAATAAGTAGCTGTCATAGCACCGGAGCAGCCTAGCCATGGAGGATTTTATAGGCCTCTTACTAGATGCAAGGGTTAAGCAGAGTTCTGAAGGGGGAGAATGTGTTTATTTGGCCCCTAGATATCACAGTGATGGGTACATTAGGAATGCGTGGATAGACAGACTAATACTACTTGGCTTTTCATCCATAGCGCTTTATTAAAGGAAGGTAAGTAAAGTTATTCCCATTTCACAGCTGGAAAACGGAGGGGCAGAAAGGTGCATGGGGAAATTTTCAACTCTCATAGAAAGGCAACGGGTTAGGCACCTGTGAACATCTCCCCCAAAGGGATTTGCCCAAGGTCCGACAGCCAGTCACGGTAGAGACAGGAACAGAACCCACATCACCCAACTTCCAGATCAGAGCTCTGTCCACTGGAGTAGACAGAGAGACGCTTAACTCTGTCCTAACCCTTCCCCACTTCCTCAGCCAGCTGGCAAATAGCACACACACACACACACACACACACACACACCATCACATCTACTAGAATCTGGTACCATACCTCAGAGCTTTCTGTAGTCTCTGTATGCAGTCTGTGGCTAGGGGGTGATGCTTCCGGGACTGGAGAAACCTCTGGACATGGGGCAGGAGAACATTGCTGGGAGGGAAAAGGCCTGTGCACAACCAAAGCAGCTCCCAACCCTTCTCTTCGCTGTACCTTAAAGAAACAGATACACAACAGGAAAATCAAACTCCCCGAAGGAACACTATCTACCAGAAAGGTCTGGGTCTCAGTTACACTAAGGCCCCCTTGACACTGCTCTGGCAGTGTAGAGAGGCATAAAAGTGGCCAGCAATGGAATTTACCCCACTTCCATCCCCGTTCAACACTGTCAGAGTTGGGTAAGGGACTTGAGCACAGATGGGAATTTGGGTCTGAAAGCGTCTTATCTCAAGCCTTGTAGCACTGATACTAATGTTAGTAATGGGGTTACATATACATCAGAGGGCAGAGATTGTAGAGAGAAGATTCACCAGCACCACACAACTGTAGAGAATGGACCTTGGAATTGTTGTGGAGGAAGAAGCCACCAGATAAGGACCTGGGCTGGATGTCTGGGGAGAGGAAAAGGGAGGAGTCAAAGATGACACCAGAGTATAGGCCTGAGTGACCGGAAGGATGGTGGTAGGGTCAGTAGCAACAGCGAATAGGTGGAAATGTAGATCTTGTTAGATTTAAACTGATGGCAAGACATCTGCCCTGGAGGAGATGTCATAGAGCCAGAGGGAAATGCAGAAGTAGCGGGACAGAAACAAGTCCAGAGTGGACAGACAGATCAGAGTCATCAGCACAGAGATGGTAGATAAAGTGATGATAAAAGTCTTTAAAGAGGACAGAGAGAACGGAAGACCTCTGGGCCTACCCATTCTGCAGAACCCCCCAGTCAGTCCTGCATTACCCGATACAGAGAGTTACAGCGGGGTACACGGGGAAGAATGACTCTTACTTAATGTGGTTGTCAGTGAGCTGCTTGAGGATCTGACAGTAGATTTCATCTTTCAACGGTTCAGCTTTCAAGGCACCTTCAAATATTTGGTCTGTTAGCTCGTTGACTGAGCGGGTTCTTTTGGATGGATAGTCACCCATATACTTCAGCACAGGTGCAAGGCAGCAGTCAAGGATACACTAACAAGGAGGCTTAGGGAATGACTTCTGATAACGACCCAATGAAAGAGTTGCTATGCATCACTCCAGAGGTGGCTGCATTTAGGTGTATAGTTAATCTTCAAATGTGCTTTGGGATCCTTCTGGATGGCACCCATAATCATAGAACCTTATGTGTCATCTTGCTTTCTTAGGCTGGAGAGACTTGGCTGGGGGGACACGTAGGCCTAGAATGAGTGCGACCCTTTCTTCGGACTGTGTAAGTGCCATGGAATTATTATGATTAATGGCCAGATTTTCAAGCTGGTGTCTGCTGGCAGAGCTCTGTGGAAGTCAATGGAGCTACACACATTTACACCAGTTAAGGGGTCTGGTCCATCCTGCTAGTTCTATCGTAATTATTATTATTTAGTGCAGCGTGTTTGAAATGAATTTTCTGAATTTGATTTTGGTTGGGGGGAAAAATTTACAAAAGCGTCATCGAAAATTTCCCCCCCATTTTTGACCAAATTTTCCGTGTATTATTATTAAGGAATGGCTCACACGGCAGTGTTAGGAGCTGAGCTTTATCTACCATGTAATGCTTGAGTCCAAGTTTGGTGCCGCCAGCTTATAAAGACGCAGGTCATCTGCATAATCTGGATATGCGTTTTGAGCGGCTCTCAGAGGTCAGGGATGTTTGGGTCCAGGAGTTGGTTCAGGCCCATCTCTAATCATTAGCACTTGTACCGAGTCCCATGGTTAAGGCTCAGATTTAGTGAGGGATATTTTTAGTAAAAATCACGGACAGGTCACAGGCAATAAACAAAAATTCACGGACGCCCTTGACCTGTCCTTGATTTTTACTAAAAATATCCCTCACTAAATCTGAGCCTTAACCATGGGACTCGGTACAAGTGCTAATGATTAGAGATGGGCCTGAACCAACTCCTGGACCCAAACATCCCTGACCTCTGAGGGCCGCTCAAAACGCATATCCAGATTATGCAGATGACCTGCGTCTTTATAAGCTGGCGGCACCAAACTTGGACTCAAGCATTACATGGTAGATAAAGCTCAGCTCCTAACACTGCCGTGTGAGCCATTCCTTAATAATAATACACGGAAA